ATACAGCGGCGAGGCTAGCAATATCATTAGAAGACCAAAAAAACACAAATCGCATTACCATCGCTAAATTACGAGCATTAGATGCTTTCCAAAATCGGGTACAAAGTTTATAAATATAGTCCATTAAATATAATATGTATATATATTAAATTAAATTGTTCCCTTTTCTACATAACAGGAAACAAAATATACAGTTAGAGCAACTATAACTGACTTATATACACATCAAGGATGGTTTTACTATGCCTGCACAAAGTGTTATAGACAAGTACAAGAATCTGGGACATCATGGTGGTGTGACACCGATGGATATCTATCTACAATGCCACTTACTTGGTAATAAATTCTATTATAAAAAATAGGCGCTTTAATTTCCTACTAATAAACACAATAAATATAATTTACTTTTCTTATACAGGTACAAAATAAATATACAGATTGAAGATAACACTGGAAGAACAGACGCTGTAATGTTCGGTAAAACTGTGCAGTCACTTATTAATAAAGCTTGCTCCACACTTACTTATGATGAGGGATACACTGATCGCTACATGATTCCTCCTATTTTAGAAGAAATAAGAGGAATATAAAAAATATTTGTCATACAGTTTCGGACTCGGGGAGCTCTTATTGATAAAGTTATTTCGAAGACTTTTAACGACGAGCAACCTCAGTTGTATTTACCACCTCTAACAACTGCGTCTTCAAAAGAAACATCATCAGTTTCAGAGCCAATTCATTCTGTTTTAGTCCCTCACGAATCTACCTCTTTCGGAAGTTCATCGAAAAAAAGAAAACAACTCAGGTAAAATTTTGTAGTATATGTTATATTAAATATTTTAATAAGTATGAACACGTTTATTAACAATTGTTACAATTTAATAATATTTTTTTCCTTATTTTTTTCCTTCTTATCTACAACTCAGAAGAAACGACGGCCGAAAAGAAAAAGAAGTGATTACATGAATAAGTCTCTGTATATATGTAAATAAGTATGTATATTTTTATGTATAAATGTAATCATCTAAATAAATGTGTATATATGTATATATATATATATATACGTGTTACAGATATACAACTTATAAACATATATATATGTGTGTGTGTGTATTTTTATACGCTTTATTTATTTAAATTACTATTAATTATACTATTACGTACCCGTGCGAATGCACGGGTAATCCACTAGTACTTAACTAAAGTAGGAAGCATAGAGTGTATCACTGAAAAATTTGTAGATAAAATAACTTTTTAACCATTTTAGTTAATATTTAACTAAAATTTAAAAAGTTCCTTAAAAATGCTCTTAGGAAGGGTGGTTTTTCATTTTTGTTCTCGGTAATTGTTCAATAGTCCATATTGGGGTTTTCTTTCTTCTATTGAAATTGTTCTTAACATTGGCTCTTATTTTGATTTTTTTTCCTCATCCGTTTAGTAGTTCTCTCTAGTTTTCTCTTTTCATTTTTTAATTTATTTTTTCATATTTTCATTGTAGTCGTTATTAGATGAATTTGAGTTTTTTTTTTATTTAGGACCCGTTTAATTCGCTGATTTGAGTTTTTAATTCGAGTTGATATGTGATTTTATGTGAAAATTTTTTACTGTAACAAAAAAGTTAGATGTGACTGTTTCTGAGAGCTTTTTACTATAATAAAACTTAAATTTTAAACTCAAATCGGTAAAATAAATGAAATTTTAATGTTATTTATCATATTTTTGCAGGTTGAATGCACAACAACCACGCAACTTAAAATCATTTGAATGAAAAGCAAAATTCTTTTCAACAAAGCGAAAAATTAGTTTCGCAGAATATAGGATATAACCTCGTGCGATATGAGAAAAGTGATGGGGGTACATAAGGGTATTTGAGGAATTTTTTGAAATTTCAATATTAAAAGGAATTTTTTTTTAATTTTAATAAAATATATTTATTTAGGGGTGCTTTAATAAAATATTAAGATGTTAATACAATTTTCCTTTTTTTCAATATTATGTTTCTTATAAAAATATGGGCTGGTCTGATCACGTGCTCAAACAGGTTGGGCTAACTTACTTTTTTATGTGAGAAAATTATAGAATTTATTTTGTGTATGAATCTAGATTTTACTCTTTATTTTTTATAAATATTATTTTATTAGTATAATTATTTAACTAAAAAAGTTATGAATCAAAGAGTAAAAGATAAAAATTATGACTCATGTATTTTCAAAAGATATTTGTCAAGATTATCCTTTTTATGTCAAGTTGGCGGTCCAATTTTATGTTTTTACAATGAGCAATTTTTAAAAATACATCTTGAAATAGACTGCATTTTTATTTCTGCATCTTAATATTAACTCATATATTTCTACATGTTAGATTAAAACTAGTCAAGCGATATAATTTTTTAAAATAAATATTTTTTATAAGTCAAATACTTAAAGAAATAGAATCTTTAATTTTCTCTTTTGAAATTAGAGCTATATTAACTTTGCTAATATGTGGAGGGGTAAGAGTGAAAAAATGAACGAACAACTCAAATATTTCAACTATATACATATATATATATATATATATTGAACAGATATATATGCAAAAGAAAAAGACTTTTTTTTTTATACGTTAATATATTAGTAGGTCAAATTTTTTATATATTAAATATGTATAAAATTACATAAAAATTAAAAATACACTATATAATAGTTAAAAAAACTTAACTTACTCATACAATGTATTAAAAAATCTCTAAAAAAGAAAACATTTTTGGAGGTCTTTTTTTAAAAAAATGGTTTTCGTACAAAAGTGTATCTTTCCGTATCTAAAGAATCTTTTGTCCTTAAGAAATCAATTGACAAAAAAAAGTTCACTCAATGCAAAACTCTCTCTGTTTTTTTTTTTTTTTTTTTACAACATCGATGCAAATAATTTTAAGTACAACAGATACATTAATCTAAATTATGCACAATATTTATTGTAAACCGTCAGCGACCAAGTGTGAGTTGTTTTTCCCACAAAACATAACTATCATATGAATGAAAAAAAAAATCCAAAACGATAAAAATAAAGGAAAATTCTCTTATACGTTATAAATTAAGTTTTTTTAATTTTTAAATTTATTTATTTTTTAATTTTTACGTAATTTTATATAAATTTAACCGATAAAAAATTTAACTTATTAATATATTAACTCACCGAAAAAAAGTCTCAAAAATAAAATGGAAAAATAAATCCACCGGTCTGACGGCATTTGATTGGCATTAAAGCATCATGAATGCGTCTCAAAACTCCAAGCTAAAATTTGTCGGCAAATTAAAAACTTAAATAAAAAAATAAAAACTTTTCAAAGAAACAACTCCTGACCCAACAAAGAACAGTAGAAGACTAGCATTTAATGAATAAAACTTAAATAATTTGTTATTATTGTTATTTTTTCTACAGAACCATAATTTGTTATCTCTTATCTGATACCATACTTGTTTGCTAAGCTATGTGACACCATACTCAATACGAACAAACAGACAATTAATCGTGTAAAAAAAGAGCTATATACAAATTTGTTAAGGCTTAAGAAAAATAAAATTTGTTAAGAGATACTACAGATGGCAAATTGCCCATCCAATAAATATTTAATATTTAAATCATTGATCCATAACTCTATGTAAGCATCTTTCTCGCTCTCTATGTTATCAAAACTTATCACTACAGAATAGTGGATTAGAAAATTCAAAATTTCCCAAATTCAACGGGTCGTACCAATAGGATTAAACCAACAAAACAAAAGAATAAAGAGAGAGCAGTCCTATTTGTTCCGATGGAGATTTTTTTCCATCAAACACAAAAATAAGCTCCACTTGAGATGAGAGTTTCACGTGAGTCCTATCATATGATGCCCACCTCATTGTGTATACGACGATATACCTCCATCGGAACAAAGAGTCAAACGGTGACAAAAGTCAATTGACCAACAAAGCTTGTAAAATAGATGGTGCCTTTCTTATAAGGTTTAGAGGTGTGGTCTTCTTATGGAATGCAAGTAGAGCCTAGAGGCATCTAAAAGTAGAAGTACAAAACCAAGTACAGTTTTTCTTTTATTTGTTTATTATTTAAGGTTCTCTTCTTTTATTCATTTACTCTACTTTTTTCCCAGATCAACGTTCCAAACGCCAAGATGCCACTTCTTCAGCAACTTTCCTTTTCCCTTCGTCCAGAGATTTTTTCCACTCTTTTTTTTTTTTTTTTTTTTTTTTTTTTTTTTTTTTTTTTTTCCTTTTGTTACGCAAAAATCCAAGAAAGGAAACCCAAACCCAACACAAAAACCATACCTTGTTGTTTGTGTGTGTGTGTAAATATATATATATATATATATATATATATGAGCATGTAGACAAGCTTCTTAAATAGCTTGCTTGATCACAGGAAAAAAGCATGCAAAAAGAGACCAAAAAACTAATAGTTGGAATTAAAAGACCAGTTCAAAAGAGAAAAACCAAACCACTAAGCAATCACATTCCAAACTCCAGAGGTTGCAGGCTGAAAGCAAGCGGACAAAACGACTACCCAATGAAACAATAAACCGCCAGCTTACTCTAGAGTCTAGAACACTTATCGACGACAAAATTTCAACAGTAATTTGAACCCCAGAAAAGAAATGCAAAAACAAACAAAATCATGTTCTCTCATTGATGGTGAAACCAACACCATTCCAATATGGACATGGATTTCCCACCTTAGGGGTCCTACCAGGGAAAGAAAAGCCACATGAATAAGTAATGTTGCAGCAAGCATATTTTTCAACTCATTAGCTGGTTACTTGGTCCATTGTAAGAACCATCCAAATTTTGAGGTTGGCCTTGATGTTGATGTCTATATAAGTGCTTATCAAAGTAGCCGGTAAATGGGTGGGCCCACCACCCATAATCCCCATCTGGGCTTTGAGGCTGGCAATGATGGTGACATAAAGTTTGAAAGCTCAAGAATGAGAAGTAAAGAATGTACCAAAATGAGGATGAGAGGAGAAAAATGTCATTATATAAATTGGCTTTTTATAATGTAGACATTAGGAAATAATGTATCTCTACGGTAACACTAGCAACATTATGTTTTACAAACGGAACAAATTTGATGACCTATGGTACCTATAACAAGGGATAAATAAATAAATTTCTTCCAATTGTACAAGGGCATCACAATTTGATGCAGGTACATTTGACAAAGGTAAGGAAGCTAAGCATACAACAAATGCAGAACTGTCGGTTTTATCTTATGCAATTGAAGGTACATCAAAAAAATAAATTTGTGGGAAATGAAATTGAGCTTCAAAACTGGAATCTTATCTGTTAGTCATCAAATCCTCCAATGTCATCGTTATCTCCACCTTGTTGGCTGATGATGACTCCTGACACTATTACCATCGCTTGTATCAGAAGTCTCTACACCCAATTGTTTATCACCTATCTTCGCAACACCAGGATTCTCCCGCTGGTAATCACGATTTGACTGGAAACAATCTTTCTTAATGTGGCGCTCCTGCATATTAGAAACAGAAATAGGTAAAGAATTAGCACTTGGTTATCCAATATTAAAAGAACAACAGTTTTGGCATCAGTGTGGCATACATCACGAATGAGCAATTCATCTGCCTCTAGCATGTGGATTACATGTCCCATTTTTGGCCTCTTTGTTGCATCAGGATCAACACATCGGAGGGCGACCAGAAGAATACGTTTAAGTGCTTTAGAAGCAGGCATCTCAGGCATCTTGGGATCAACTACTTGCTCAGCTTTTCGGTTCCCAACCATGGATTTTAACCAATCAACCAGATTCACCTGCAAACAAAAATGCATTTTCAACTTAAACTTAGCAGCAGGGAAACAAAATTTGACGCAACAAGGTTACAAAGAAATTGTGTGTAGAAAAAAAATTAACCTCTCCCTGTGGTCGACTATAGTCAACAGGGCTTCTCCCAGAGATTAGTTCCATGATAAGAATTCCGAAGCTATAAACATCACTCTTCTCATTCAGCATTCCAGTGCAAGCATATTCTGGTGCAACATAGCTACAGAAAAACACCATGAGAGTTGTTTTCCAACTCTTAAGAACATAACAACAAGATTCTTGATGCATGTGTCCTCAAACCATTTTACATATTCAATAATAACCAAAACCAGCAACAATACAATGAAATATACTAACCCAAAAGTCCCCATCACTCGAGTTGTCACATAACTGTTCTCAGAGCACAGGAGCTTAGCAAGACCGAAATCAGATACCTTCGCATTCCATTGACGATCAAGTAGTATGTTGCTAGATTTAACATCACGATGGACAACTTTTGGTTCAAGACCCTCGTGAAGATAAGCCAACCTGCACACGTCGATGAAAAATGCAAGTTTAGGCATGTTGGCATGCATAAACATTAAACTTGAAAAGGAAATATGTCTAGACAAAATTATAGATATTAGTACCCTTTTGCTGTTCCCAGTATGATGTTTATACGTATCTCCCATGTTAGTGGGCTGACTTCACCAACATCTCCGTGAAGCCATTGATCCAAATTGCCATTGTCAACATACTCATACACAAGCATCCTGATAAACAAAACCCAAACAGATGAAATCTCCTGACACTTACCAAAACTCAAAAACTCGAAGCCTTAATAGAGCTCAGCATTCCAATATAGATTGTTCCTACCGATATGCACCCTCAACACAATATCCAAGCAGTCTCACAAGATTTTTGTGCCGCACACGCCCAATTGCTTCAACCTCCACCTTAAACTCCCTCTCAGCTTGACCCCTGACAATTGACCATTCTCATGAGCAAACGCATTGCTTATACATGTAAAAAGATAGTACAATATTCAAAATCCAGAAGAATGGATAAAAAAAGGTTAACAAATCCGAGCAAGTAGCCATTGATGAACAGTAAAAATAAAGGGATACGATGCAAAATTCAAAATCCAAAAATGGGATAAAAATTGGTGAATAAAACTGAGCAGGTATCAATATCAATAATTTTTTAGGCAAGCGAATATTACTACTGAAGTCTAGAAGGAAGAAGATGGGTTCCTTTCTTGTCATAAAGCAAACGAATTTACAGCACAAATTCAATCAAAACAAGACAAGAATAACGAAAATACACAAAAAAGACTGGCAATGTATTTGCAAACATACACAAACACGTCATTAGAATGCTGAGAATTACTCAATACCAGAAATAAAATAAAACAAAATAAAAAAGAACTTCATCAAACCACATAAAACCGCAAATAAATTTCAAAAGCAAACATATAAATTTCAAAAGCAAACATGTAATATGTCTCATCAGATACTAAGAATTGAATTTTCAATTTTCCACTACCAGCAAACAAACCAAAAATCACTTATCTATCAATTCCATTACTTTTCCACCAATTTAATTTAATCTAAACTAACATTAATAGAACACAAACAGAAACAAATAATAAAAAACGCACCAACTTTTCTCACTTTCCTTCTACTTTCTCACCAACCAAACATCCAATAAAAAAGAAGAAATCATGAGAATTTTACCTGTTATTCAAGAGATTCTTAACGGCGACTCTAGTACCGTCACCAAGAATCCCACCATACACAATCCCATAGCCTCCTTCTCCAATGACATTCTCCGGAGAAAGTCCGTTGGTCGCCGCTTCGAGCTCTCTGAGAGTATACCACCTCCCCCAACCGAGATGCGACACCTCGGGGCCCACATTCCCGCTCCCGCCGAACGACGCCGTATCTCCTCCTACGCCGCCGCCGCTCATCATTGTCCCTCGGCTCTCGCCACTGGAGACCCGATCCGAGTAGACGACGACGCGGTGGTCGGGCTTCCCGATCTCGACCTGGATTTCGGCCTCCCTCGGGTGGTGCACGATCTCCTGGATTTCCTTGGAGATCACCGGAGTGTGGACATCGGAGGCCGCCATGGCCGGCTTAGAAGACGACGCCGTTTTGGCGGTGGCCTTGCCGTTGGTGCGGTGGCGAGAGGTGATGCAGATGGAGAGGAGGAAGAGAGTGATGACGATGAGGGACCCGACGAGGATCCCGATGACCACCCATAGCCGGAGGCCGAAGATTGATGTCGGCTTCGACAGCTCCGAGTTCACAAACGCAGCGTCGTACACCGACATCTTGCTTGCTTTTTTGGTCGTTTCTTCTCCTTTTGTTGTCGTTTTGGTGGATTGCTTAGAGAGGGAAGTGTTGTGGCAGGTTTTGGGGCATTTCAGTTGCCGGAGAATTCGATGAATTTTTCAGTTTTTTTTTTAAATTGTTTTTTAATGAGAATTCTCCGGCAATAGAATTTGGAGGTAGAGAGAGAGAGAGAGCGTTTAAAAAGGTGTATAATTCTTTCTTGTTCTCCTTCATTACAGTGGTAGGACTGTGCCAGTTGAGCTGTCGAGTATGTGTGATTACTAAATTACCCTTTGAATGATGCCATCGTATTTGGGTCCAATTAATCAATGTCATCTTACTTAAAAGAATATTTTAATTAAGACGTGTCATATTTAAATTGAGATGTCATTTTAATTAACGTATCATATTATTTTAAAAAATATTTTAATTAAAATGTGTTATATTTTAATTGAGATGTTATTTTAGTTGATGTGTTTAGTTCGTTGATACGAATTTTGTTGTTTTGAATTTTTTTTATTTGAATAGAAAAATTTAAACTGTGTAATTTAAATTATATTTTAAATTAACGTTTCAATGTAGTTTAAATTTTAATCTTAACAAAGAATAAAATTTAAATGTGTGTTTAATATGTATGAAAAATAGTGTGACCACCTCTTTATTGTTAAAAAATAGTTTGACTTTGAACAATTGAACTTAAGGAGGAGCTAAACTCTAAGTTAGACAGTTTAACTCAGTTTAAATATGAAATATAATTCAAACTGAGTGCTTATTAGATATGAATTTAAACCATGCTCACTATTCAAACTGAGTTAAACTGAGCTAAATTAGTAAAACAAACAGGGACTTGATATTTTAAGTAATATGACATGATATTATTAAGAAGATGAAAACATGAATAAGTTGCGTCCTCTATTGTTTTAGGGGTGATTCTATTTACACACATGTTATTCTTCACACTCCCTTTAAAATTTAATTCCTAATGATAAAAGAATCCTCGCATAAAATGATAAAAAAAAGACAATTATCATGACTTAATTACATAATCAAATTTTGTTATAAAAGAAAAACAATTACATATTTTTTTCTTTTAACACACCCCACATAATATTATCCTAAATTTTGTTTTTTATTAATTATTTTGTTTTTAAAGGATGACTATTTTATTTTATCCTTTTGCTTTTATAACGTTGCATTGTTTTTCTTCTTTTTATGTTTCATTCTATCTCTATTTTTTTATACTCTTCAGAAATCGCTTTTATTTTCCTATTTTTTTCTTTTTTATCAATACCTCAACAGATATAACAATTATATTGTGATTATTCTTATATTTAGTCCTTTATTTATTTTTTTTTAAAAAATGCAACAGTAAATTTTCTTTATGTATGAGAAAAGACTTCACGTCCAAAACTTCTAAAAAAAAAAAGAAATAAAAAATAATACTATTAAAATAGCAAATTAAAATAAAAGTATGAGTGCAGAAAGAAAAATAAAATGTTTAAGAATTAATAATCTTATAAAAATAGTTAAAGGTAATCTTATAATATTAGGGGTATGTAAGAAGAATTTAATTCTTTTAAAATTAAGTGAAATGTGTACTTAGAAGGTGTGTGTAGAGAGAGTAAAAAGAGGGGTGTGATTAGAACTACCATTGTTTTGGAGTGTGTAGTGGACTTTTAGATTTTAACTTCCAGTCTCCTCTCCTCTCTCACAACTCCCTCATTATTCATTAGAGCTGTAAATTTAGGTCGAACTAAATGGGCCGGCCTGAGGCCTGATATTGTTGGCCCTGTCTTGGGCCGGCCCTAACTCCTGGTTGGTCGAGCTTAGGTTTTAAGCCTTAAACTTTCTTCGGGCTGTTTACACATCTTTTTTAAAATTTATCTTAAAAATACTTTGTAAATTTCGAGCCACGAGACCTATTGGATCGACCTTCCTTCTTTTAAAATTAGCCCGGCTCAATGAAAATAATAAACTGAGCCGGCTCAAAATTCTCACTAGGGCTATTAAGTTCGAGCCAGATAGCCTAAATTTTCACCTCTATTATTCTTTGATAAGATAAATAAAAATATAAAATTTGACGATACTCACACAATCTAAGTAATTGTTGGCGATCATTAATGGGTCCCAATTGTTAAGAGGGAAGACAATGTAAAGAGCAGCATGAGAGTATAAGCCACATGTTAATTATAATGCCGTCATTATAGTAAACGGCCTCAAACAATGTATAGTTTGCAGAATTAGATCCTATTATTATGGATGAGCAGCATTTTTTTTTTTGAAATGGAGAGATGAGAAGCAATTTGTTCTCTCTCTCTCTCTCTCTCTCTTACCTTTTTATTTTTAATTTGGGATCCTGCTTGTGCGTAACCTCCCTTGTTTTTTTTTTTTTTTTTTTATCTAGCCACGCCCATCAAAATTGAATTTACGTATGCAAAATTTTTACATTAATGTTGTACAACAACAATTGATATGGTAATTTTATATCCTGAATAATGTAATTTAAGTAGCAAAAGGATTCCCACATTATCACACCAAATTGGGTAAACGTTTTAAGCCTTTTAAATTTAACTATCTCAATTTTTTGTTTTGACAACTTACCTCCTAAAACTTCTATTTTGACAATTTATCCCAGACATTTGAAATTATTAAAATATACCCCATTTTGTTAACTTCCAGTTAAATTGAAGATTGAATTTGGAAGATTTGCATTAGAGTTTGTGTTAGAATTGGGGTATGTTTGAAGGATGGGTTCAAACCACTTTGGTCTGGTTCTAACAGTGCTTTCTCTTTGGTTTGAACCCACTTTTCAAATGGGCCCTTAAAAATTTTTTAGTCAGACATGTAATATTCTTACATTTCTACTCTGTAGGTAGGAAATTTTTAAAAGGGATATGTACATTTTTATATCCTGTGTTTTAGATTTATTTAAAAATTATACATTCAGTTTTTAATCTCATTAAATACATACTTTTAAATTAAATTTAATACCTAAATTTATACATTTTCACAACCAATTCTTGATTTTAACCTTAGAAATATCTAAAATACCCTTGGATAAAAAACTAGAAAAAAAAACCATAAACTAGTTTTGACCTAAAAAATATACAAAATACAATTGAAATGGATTTTTTTTGTGTTTTAATTTTTTTTTTGTAAGTTTTAGTTTCTTTTCTCTCTTTTTTTAAGGATAGTTTGGTCATTTAAAAGTTAAAATCAATTATTGACCGAAATAAGATATAGATTCGTATATTAAATCTAATTTGAAGTTATACATTTGATGAGATTAAAAACCAAATGTATACATTTTGAATAAACCTAAAATATAGAGTACAAAAATGTAAATATCCCTTGAAGTGGAACCCTATTTTATTTCTACCCCTTAACATTAGTCAATATATTTCTATCTTTTAGACTAGAATTAGTCAAAAGGCAGAGTTTTTTAAAATGAATACTTTTAATAAGTCATGTACTTAAGGGGGTAGAATCAATAATTTTCTCCAAATAAAAACAGTTAAAACTATTATTTTGACTAAAAAAATGGAGGAATTCATTGTGCAACAATTAGTGTACATATAACACCGCAAGTGGATGAAATACATTACCATAATAGATCAAGATATTAAAGTCCATGCAAAAGCACACAAAAATGTTAAAAATAAAATAGAAAAACCACTCTTAGACCAAGATCCGATGGATGAAATCCATTACCATAATAGATCAAGATATATAAAAGGACACATATCCTTATTTATAATATAAAGATTGAAATTACAAATAAAGAAAAAAGAGAAAATTTTACGATAAGGAAACGAAAAGAATGGACAATGTTTGAAAGGAAGAGAAAAAAAAAAAAAAGAAGAGAAATAGGAAGAAAAAATAATAAAAATTTGAAAAAGTAAGGGACGGAGTAAGATAACGACTATTCTCTAGGGAGTAAATTTGAAATTAACCCCCTAAACTTGATCAATAAACCATATTGTCTCTTAAATTCTCAAATGTTCTGTGCTGGCTACAACTATACACTTCCACAGGATGTGTGCTTGAAGTTCAAGCCAATATCAATGGGGTTGCTCCTTTAATAGCCATTAGACCTTGATGTTTTATGAAACGTATGATTGCTCCTTTAAACTTTGTTTTTTATTAGAAAGGGAAAGTTCTGAGAAGAGAAGCTGAAAATCTCATTCTAGAAGAAGAGGCCAATAGCCAGAAAAATATATACATCAAATGCTGGACGACCTGAGTTTTGTTGTAACAAACCTCCAGCTCAACAAATAAGAAAAAGACAAAAAACAAGAAAAAAGCTATTTACAAGTATATCCTTTATATACAAAAAAAAAACTCTAATTCTGTAATATTTTTCTTGTGAAGGGGTTTAAACACAACAAAAAAGAAGCAATAATAAAGAAAGAAGAAAATAATAAAGAAGGAAGTTATAGTCTCTTTGTTTCCCCTTGACAGTTTAAGTTTAAAAAGATTTTTACTCTAATTAGAATGTGTCGAGTAATGAAGAATGTGTTTCAGAGATCAAATGGTTGCATTTATTAATTTAATTGGTTGGAAGAAAAATTTTCTTAAATGAGGATACAATATTATAGATTTTCACTTACAGAAAAGATTTTTTTGATCTCACGGATAACCGCAATATATCTTAAAAATTAATTTCCCGCGTCACGAGAAAACAATGCTCAAACTCACTCCTAGCCATTGGATCCCAATCACTTTCTTTTATTTATTTATTTATTTATTCATTTTTGTTCATTTCCCTGAGAGGAATCCTAATTTGTATTATCAATTATGTCAAAACAAAGTTTTTTTTTTTTTTTTTTTTTTGATACAATATGCCAAAGCAAAGTCGCAGATACATAAATATACTTGTTTGCTGGTCTGTCACTATGAGGACTGCATATGTGTTGCAGATATTGTGGTGATTCTTGTAAGAATAATCACTTATGTATTGCATAATGCATTCTATACATTTTATTTGAGAATCAAAACATATTCTATATTGAAACCTGACAAGATGCATACTATTGTACATACTTTATTCTTATTAGGCATAAGAATAAGAGTAAGCAAGAGTGCGCACACATTATGGCGTACTACGGATAATGTTAGGAAATTTGAGTGTAGATGATAAAAAGAATGCAGAAAATAAGAGGGTTTAAGACATATAAAAATATTTTATTTTAAGTTTTATTTGCACTAACTTCTCAAAGTTTGATAATGAGTTTCTATTGCAAAGTACCCCCAAGATACAACAAATTCTTAAACACAATATCTAGCAATAATAGTGTTCCATAACATGAATAAGGTTTGAAAATTTTCTAGAAAATTAATAAAGACAGAAGTGTCATTTCATAAATGAACACACCATCTTCAACCATCAAAACCGTTCACATAAAGGTACCTTTCAATGTAAAGATATCTCTTCATGGATTAATACATCTATTACAGCAGTTATATCTATTACTAATAGGTGTTCAGATATGTGTGAAAATATATCACCAATGGCTGCAATAGTTCGAAACGTTTCTGATCACAAATCACACACATATGCACAATTTCTGCAGGATCCCCGCTGCTACCAAAACCAACAGGTCCGAGGGCCTGCACAAAAGGCTCTGCAGCGTCCCAAACAGGCGCTGCAGCGCCTATGACTGCACTGCAAGCACCTAAAAGGTAATGTTTCTTTGGCTGCAGCGCTTCAAACATGTGCTGCTGCACTTCCTTGCTGTCTTGTTGTGCTATTCCTTGCTCTGAAAGAGTTAAATGGTATTTTTTCTGAAAATACTAATGATAAATAAGATGTAATAAAGAATGTATGATAGATAACGATAAGTGGTTAATTTAGAAGCATATTTATGGTAAATTTACTTTATAAATTTGTTATGTAAATGAATTATTACCGTAAATATGTTGTTTACCATAAATATTTTAAAAATTATTATTATAAATATTTTATAATATTTTATTTACCATGAATGTTTTATTTACCATGAATGTTTTAAAATTAAAGCAAAATAAATTATTACTGTAGATATGTTATTTATCATAAATATTTAATAATATGCTATGTACCATGAATGTTTTAAAATATGACCAGTCTCTTATAATTTCCATCCGAAAAACTGTAAAAAATGGAAAACTTGGGCCTTAGTTGTAAATTTAGGTATTTAGGTGCGTGAAGGAGATAGATATCCAAATCTGTTCCTAATTAATTGATTACAATTTACTAGTGGGCAGTGGCACAAGTTGCAGAAAACACATATACATACATAAAGCACGAAAACAGCCCATCTGTCAAATTCCACAATGCATTTAAGATAAGAATTCCTCTACGGATATAGAAAAGCTTGGAAGGTAAATTAGGATAGTCGCTGTGAAAAGTTTTTTCCCAAAAGAAACTACAATACATCATATAGCAGAAAGCCACCAAAATAAGCATAACTCTTTAACTTAGCGCAAGTCGTTATGATTGTTAGTTTGGAAACATAACAGATTTATGACAAATTCTTCATTCTCTCTCCTCTTTTTGGTCATTTCTTGGTGAATGATTTAACTCTTAGCTACAATGAGTTATATTACTGCTAGTTGGGAAGATGTGTGAGCTCCATTAGCAGATAGAGCTATTGACTCGCAAGGATTCCCAATACTTTGACGTTCTAATGATGTATATCCAAAGGTAGGCCGTGTTAGTCTGCCTTTTTATCTGGCTCATCAAGTGCAGCCAACCTTTCGACAAGCGGGGGATGCGAATAGTGATAAGCCGAGTACCATGGATCAGTATTCATAGCTGACAAATTCTCTTCCTGTAAAACGCATATATCCATTCAGTAATGCAATTCTTCACCAGACGAAAAACGTGTACAGACTACGAAAACATCAACAAGTATGCATCAACACCGACTCAAGTCTTGGACGTTTTTGGAGTGTAATAGTAATACAACCTATTTTCTAATGACCTCAAATTTGACAGGATATATTCCACAACCAAATGCACCTATTGAGAATGTAAAGCAAACCCCTTTTGGGACGTTAAATCTGCCTACACAATTCAAATGAAAGATCACCATGCAGAAAGACTCCTAAAGAGCAGTGATGGGGAAAGAGAACCGACAATATGTTACCTGTAGTTTCACGAGAGCGACACGAAGGGAGGAGGTGTAACCAAGCTTCTTAGCAAAGGCATCAGCCTGCAAAATACAATATATAGACGAAAATATTAAGTTTTCGAAAAAGGGAAGGAAAAAAAAAAAGGCAACTTAATCAGCAAAACAACCTCCATATAAAAGTTACCTGAAATTCAAAAGATCTGCTGACAAGGTTAAGACCGAAACTAACTAGGTGCTGGAGAGGTATTACAGTATGCTGCAAATAACAAGCCAGATAAAGATAAGTCGCAAAACCATCCCAGGTATAATTTGTCTATACGTGAAAGTAAGATATTGAAGTTTGCAGTTTCATTAACTTAGAAGTGTCGGAGAATAACATCAAGGATTTTTGTTTACTACAGAAGAAACAATAGCAAGACGATGGCCAAATAACGTGAGTTGGGTTTCTGTCAAGTACTGATTAGTCTTGTTCTCCTATATATATAGATGCTATTGGTTTATCCAAAGGCAAGACATGGTATGTATATGAAAAGTATCTATGATATCAGGAACCTAGGAGACACCGGCAAATTTTAAGTAAAGCAACCATTATTTTGCAATGCTAATGCAATGAGCAATTCCAAACAAAATTGTATGACATACATACGGCGGATCATGTTTTATACGCAAGTACCTGAAATATTATGAGTCCAATGAGTACTGGCTGTGTATCAAACCCAAAACTTCGAAACAAGTTGCTTGAGTTCCTCACAAGAGTATATCCTCCAAATTGTAAAAATGTAAGGATCTACATTACAATAAAGAAAAAATGATAAAGCAAGCAAACAGCACTTGGTAAGGCACTATCCAGAGACAAAACCTAACGTCAAAAGATTCTGAAGATTAAAATATTAGGTCAGTTGAAGTTCAGCCAAATTTCCCTGCTTCAAGTTTTCCCTAGCCCTATTGATTCGAGTTTCAAAGGAAATAAAGAAAGATCCCAAACTCTGAAAAGACTCCTCAAATTTCCTTTCAAGACAAGTGACACCACAACTAGGATTCTCAATAGCACATCAATCAGAGGTTTGGGCCCATAAATTGTCCCAAAAAAAAAAAAAAAGGCTTAGTCGGAAGAACTAAACCACAAGATTTTTTTTTCTTTTTTTCCTTTTTGATAAGTGACTAAACCACAAGATTTACTTAACACTTAATCTCACAAAGAACTTCTAAACGGAGCAAAAACTTTTACATAATCAATATGCTTCTCATGTCAATTAAAATGCTAATCATTTCGACACTATCTGTTGTTTTCTACAATTAAAAAGCTATACAAGTCACAACAAATCCCACTATCAGTCAAGCACGTCTTTGTTAGAAAATTAAGATAGGTAAGAGAAAGATTGCAGCTTACTTGCACAGCGATAAATGAGTACATTGTATGATTAAGTTTCCAATGCCCTAGCTCGTGAGCTATCACAGCAACAATTTCTTCATCGTTTTTGCACTACAAGACACCATTATCCATGTAAAGACCTTTGAACAGTAGAGGGAGGGAACATGTCTAAACTTACACTTAACATTGGCAACAAGGAAATGCAACCTATAAGCATAGCTAAAGGTGATAAACAGAAGAGTTGACTGCCGAGCAAACTGGGGAATGATATTAATTAACCAGTACAAATAAAAATATAAAAAAAGAAATGCTTTCTAACAGTAGTTTTTTTTTTTTTTAATTATTTTCATTTAAAAAAATAAAAAGAAGAAAGAAAGAAAAGAGACAGGAAATCACAAGGAAATTCTCTGGAAAATTTTTCCGGATAGGCAGTCTCTTCAAAATATGTTGAAAAACAGACAGCAGAGGAAAGAGCTGTGGGGGTTTCCAACTTATCACAAAACGGCTTGAAGCATTGCAAACGAACAGTAATAACCCTATAATGCCAAACCCACTTAAGCTAGCACATTCAAAGTATTGTAATGCCTAGAAAACAATTAGATATGTCGACAAGGACTCAAAATTCCCTCATTCACCGATACTCTTAACTGAAAGTACATCAACCAACTAATTTCCTTCTGTAGCCTTCAAAGAATTTATGAAAGACTAGTAATGCAGCACTCAAATACCCAAATGAAAGAATTTAAAGAAGGAAGCAACTAGCAAGGAATAAATTTCCATAACTCAAGGATAAAACAAATAATAAATCCAAACATAAAACAAAAAAACAAGTTGAGGAACTTAAAAATAATAAAAAATAATAAAAAACCCACAACTCCTCACCTGTTGAATCAGTGTATCATAGAGAACAATCCTCTTGTTTTTAAAGAATCCGTACATGTAGGCCTGCAAAATAACATGAATCAGGCAATCAGCCACAGATATAGCAAAGCAGTCTAAACCACATAGGATAATCATTTCCGATCCTTGTGGTTAGCTAATGGAAGAATGATGTGCCCTATTTCAATAATAGCATCCTAAATAAACATCAGTTACCTCGTAGCATTTGTGGGGGTAACATTCCCATATTTTGCTAATCACTTTGTAATGCAGTTTAGCAGAGAACATAAAGTGGGAATAAGCTTCCCTTTTCCAATTGCCAGTAACAATTAACAAGAACATTTCCTTATTTTCAAGGTTTATATTAAACGATCAGAAAATACGTTCAATTATGCACAATGACAGCAAGAAACAAGACATCAGAGATGGGCAAGCAACTGTCTTTTATATGATATTACTCAGTACCACTTATTATTATTTTTTTCGATACCCAGAAACCCCCCGAACCCACTTTGTGAACCCGTGTTAGAAACTGGAGCCCTCCGCCAAACTTCTTATTACCTCTTTGAACCCTACATCTCCAAATTTAAATAAGAAGATATTTCTTTTTACTTTTTCTTTTCTTTTTTTAATTTTCTTTAAGGAAACTGAGAATGAAAGTAAATGTAATCCTAAACAATATCGGTTAACTCTTTATTTCATATCAAGAGAAAATGCAAAGTGTATAAAAAAGCCAGTAAAGCATATAAGCAGCTAAAAGCTCACATTGCTATGACTTGACCTTGTTGACCCGTCCACAACAAACAACTTCTTCAACGGAAACTTAAGGGATGAAGCAAGGTTTTCAATTTTTTCCCTGAGACCACCTTCTGAAAGCTATGATCATAGCATAAACAAGGAAAAGAAAGTCAAAACCAAATGATAACCTGGTATGAACAATTTTAGCGAATGACAACTTTTCTGAACACTCACAGGCGTGAATTTGTTAAAAAGTGGAGCTATTAGAATAGGGTAGATTGTCATCATCACAATTGAAAGAACGAACATAAACGCCCAGAGATATATGGCCAGGTATGGCCCTCCCTTCTGCAATCACATATAGCAACACAAAATTTGACCATGGCTGGAGAGGGATGCAAAATAACATAGGAACTAGATACCAGATAAAAGGGTAATAAGAAATATAAACATAAAGCAAAACAGAAACATTATAGGCAAATGAATTATTTTACGGATTAACTAAGAAGAAGTACCAATCTATGTCAACACAACAACCAAATACTCCAAATAAATAGTGCTTGCTGAATTAAGGGGGCATGAAGTTACCTGTACTATAATAATGATTGCAGACACAATAGGAGGACCAAGTATGACAGCAAGGCAAATTCCTTTAACCAAGTCTCTAAAGAATAGCCATATTGTTTGCTGCAAAAGTGGACCATAAGAAAACGAATTTGTAATACACTAATGGTAAGATCTTGGAACAGCAGAAGACTGGTAAACGAATTTGGAACAGCAGAAGACTGGTAAACCACGAAATAAAACAAGATTAAACAACATCTTAACCAGAGTGGGAGTACAAACTTTATTAAAACCATGCCGAGCCTCGATCACAAAAGTGGAATAAAGAGAGAATGGCAGATCTGTTATCTGTAAATACATTCGAAAAACAAACGGTCAACAACTTCATAAGTAGACAATAAGTAAAAGGTAAAGAGTAATTTCAATATATTTCCCAAATGGTAATACTCAAATACTTGTAACTGTTAAAATAAAATATGAAAGCAATAAACAACTAGTTTCAAATGGAAAAGGATCGCCTTCTCCTTTCCAAGAACGAAGAATGCATAATAGACTCCGCGAATAAAGCAGAGGTACCACCTAAGAGAAAAGAAAACACTATACTGAACAAGTCCAAGCTCTGCTCAGCTTGTTACCAAGTATACCAAGAAAATAAAACTCAGTTTTGGTTATTTTCCATCACATACAACACTAAGCACTTCATCAAGATAAGATTACTGGATCCCTTAGAAAGAGGGAAAATGCTAATAATTGTTTGCACGGAGTTTAGTGTTGAGACCTAGGGTTTTCTTAGCAAAAGAATGGAAATGAGCACAAACACGAATTGAATCTCTCCTATTGAAGCAAATGAATCAGCCAAATGGCATCTGTACAACGAACCAACAACCCAGCAGATTTAGAGGATTTGCCCCGTCCCTACTACGACTTAGCCAAGAAAATTCCCAACCAATACCTAGCTTCTCTTCTCTCTATCTCTCAGCTGATCTTCCACTATCCAATCAGAAATTAGAATCCTTCCTACTAACTAACATGAAACAACCCGAACCGTTTCATTACTAACAATACAAGCTGAGTAACTGACTCCGACAATACTAACAAACATGCATAAATGAAACAGATCAAGGGGCTATCATTTAGTCACGTCAAAGCTAAAGTGGTTAAGAAACAGACGCTTTTCGGGGGAAGAAAGAGAAATCAAGTCCCACCTGTGACCAAATCATGACACCAGCCAAAAATGCAAGAGTGTGTAGTATTTCATTCTCTGCGTTGAGGCCAACTAACACCAAAAAATCTCCCGATTTCTGCAGTTTAGAAAAGAAATCAAGTGATCAACCACCGATAGTACTACAACAACAAAGGAAAGGGCCATCACTAAAAATTCCAATCACTAACCTTCCAAAACCAAGGCAACACCCCAAAGAACAAAATTGAAGAGTCCATAAGTATAGATACAAACTCATGGACAAAATGGAAGTGGCTGAAAGTAAAGAAAGATTAATCAGACAAGAAAAAACCCATACGTGCAAACATGTACTGATTCCTTTGACAAACAGTACTACTTACACAGAGAATACAATTACTTCATAACATACCTTTTATCAAGACTATAGGCCCTAGACTTTTCAAATTTCTCTTGGCTGATTACTCCCACTAAAGTTTTTGGAAGAGTTGGCAGTTTTAGGGCCGCATGTTGCCTCAGATCCAAATATGTTTCAAAGAAGTACATTAATATCATAAACCCTGAAAGAAAAAATAGCAAAAAGAATTATAAACTATGAAAGGGGAAAAAAAAAGTTATGATCATGATTTCAATAATACAAAATTAGCAGGAACAATACATTTCAAAGCAAAGCAAAATATAAGGAGAGATTCTCCGGTACGCCTGGCATACTGGTAGGCTAAGTTTTTTTAACCGTTGGATCTGCATATTTTTTTACTTTTATGTGATTTTATATAAATCCGACAGATAGAAAACTTGGCATACCTGTATTGGCATGTGTTGGCGTACCGGATAAGGTCCCATCAAACAACAAAAGGAAACAAGGTAACATTCTGCTAACACCTAAATGGTGATAACAGCTTACTTTTTTTTTTCTCCAAAATAAAAATTATAAAAGTTACTGGTCTCTCAAACTATATATATATATATATATATATAAACCATTGGAGTCATTTTAGTCCATTTCTCACCATTTTCTTTAGACTTACTATATGGTTTATAAGAAATGAAAAACCCCAAATAGAAAATGTATCTCGAAACATAAAACTTAGTGGAACTCAAAACCTAAAGTTAACAGTTTTTTTTTTTTTTTTTTTTTTTTGCTAATGATAAAGTTAACAGTTTATCCAAAGAAATATAGTAAAAGATTTATTTCTCCTTAATTTTCAACGCAACAAAGGTGAGATTTTTGTGTGAAGCAATGAAGATTCGAAACCGGAAGATATGAAACACTTGAAGCCCAGAAGATCAACCCATAGCACAAAATCAGGATCATTACGAAAAACCTAACATTTTCACATAGAAGCGGTAAATATAAAACCGAAAATCAACATAAAAGAAAGAAAGAAAGAAAAACGCAGAAGAAAGAAAGAAAGAAAAACGCAGAAGAAACAAAGAAAGAAAAACGCAGAAGAAACAAACAGTCCCCCACGAGAGAACCATCGAAACGAGAAGGGGAAAAAAAAAAAAGCAACGTCACGACATAGAATCCAAATATACAACAAGAAAAAAAAACGGATGATGAAGAAGAAGCCATAACGATCGATTTGCAACCACGAAGAAGAGAAAATGAATAATTTACAGAAAATAGAGAAAAAGAAATGAATGTTAGAGAGAGAAAGAGAGGGCGAGAGAGAGAGAGAGTTACCGACGACAGCTTCC